TACGTCGCGTGCGCCATCTAATCCACAAAGTCTCTGGGAAAATTACAAGGAAAGCCTTACTGAAGATATTCTCAGAGAAAAACGAAGAGCCACTTTATTGAGTCTAGATTTTTCGCCTGAGATATTTAATCAGGCCCTGATGTATAGACTGAAGACCAGAGGTTGTTATACACTACTGTTATGGATGTCATCTCGAGAGGCTCAGGTGGATTATTCTTTCTTGATGCGCCGGGAAGAAGAAAAACCTTTCTTATTAATCTATTTCTTTGTGAGATTCGAAGGTAAGGAGAGATGGCTATCGCGATTGCATCATCAAGAATTGCGTCAACGTTACTGCATGGAGGCAGAACAGCTCATTCTGCCTTGAAGCTCCCCTTAAATCTCGCCCATTCAGAAAATCCTATCTGTAGCATAAGCAAGGGCTCTGGTAAGGCTCAAGTACTGAAAAGTTGCAAGCTTATTTTATGGGACGAGTTTACTATGGCACATAAGAAAGCCCTTGAAGCGCTTGATCGAACGTTGCGAGATTTTAGAGAAAACACCAGAATTATGGGAGCTTGACAGTCGCATTGGCAGGCGACTTTCGTCAAACCCTGCCTGTCATCTCACGATCGACTCCAGTCGATGAGTTGAATGCCTGCTTCAAATCATCTTATTTTTGGAAGCACGTGCAGTCCATGCCGTTAAATACTAACATGAGAGTCCACTTATTGGAGATGCTGCCGCAGGTAATTTTGCACAACAATTATTGTGTTTGGGTGAAGGTAGGTTCCCTACTGATCCGACTACTGACCTGATAACCTTTCCAACAGATTTCTGCAATTTAGTGCAGTCCGTGGAAGAATTGGTGGCAAAGGCTTTCCCAGACATCGAGAAAATTTTCAAAAATCACAAATAGCTTTGTGAGAGGGCAATTTTGGCATCCAAAAACGGTGTGTGAACTCATTGAACATTCAGATACAGAACAACCTTTCTGGCCTTCCATCAACTTATGAATCTATAGATATGGTGGTTGACAGCAAGCAAGCAGTGTATTATCCAACTGAATTTTTGAATTCCCTTA